GCTCCTCTTCAGGTTCCAGCAGCAGGGCGCAGTAAGACCTGTTAGCACTGTGGCAAGGATCATGGGGACCAACCTTGCTATTGCTTCAACAACACCTGCCACATATGTGGTAGCACCCAACATTATGAAAGGGAGTGCCCGAGGAACCAGAACCAGACTAGACCTCCTATCTAGGGCAGAGCTTACAACCTCACTCAGCAAGATGCAGAAACCAACCTAAACGTGGTACATGGTACATACACTATCTGTAACCATCTTGCTTATGTTTTGATTGATACTAGTGCATCACATTTATTTGTTTCACATGTTTTTTTATCAAAATTAAATGTATTACCTAAAAAACTTGATTCTGTGTTGTTTATGTCTACTCATGGAAGTAGGACACTATTGAAAGATGTTATATACAGAGCCTGTGTCATAGATATAGCAGATAAAAAATTGAGTGTGGATCTAATAAAAATTGAAACGGGAAACTTTGATGTAATTTTAGAAATAAACTGGCTAGCGGCATATCACGCCACCGTAGATTATTTTCACAAGAAAGTTGTATTTAACCTTGCTAATGAAGGGTCATTTATAAATTAATAAAATTCTTTAACATTTGTTCCCCTTATGACAATTTTCTTATTATCAAGTACTTAACCCAATTATTTTCTCTAACTAGGCAAACTCAAGAAAGAAATTTGTATTCAAGAGATTCTAGTAGTCTGAGACTTTCTAGATGTGTTCCCAGATGAACTACCTGGATTGCTACTTGACAGAGAAGTCGAACCACCATAGACCTTCAGCCAGACACTTAGCCTATTTTGGTTGCTCCTTACCGCATGAGTCGTATTGAGAAGGAAGAACTGAGGAAACAAATCACTGAATTACAGGACAGTGGATTTATCTGACATAGTGTGTCCCCTTAAAGTGCCGGAGTCATATTTACAAGAAAGGAAGATGAGACATTGAAGTTATGTATTGACTACAGAGGTTTGAACAGAGTCACGATCAAGAACAAGTACCCCATCCCCAAGATTGATGACCTCTTTGATCAGTTGCAGGGTGCCTAAGTCTTCTCAAAGATAGACTTGCGTTCAGGTTACCATCATGTAAATATCAGAGTAGAAAACATTCTCAAAATAGCCTTTCGAACCAGGTACGGACACTATGAGTTCCTGGTCATATTATTTGGAATAACCAACGCTCCAACCATCTTTATGAATTTGATGAATAGGGTTTTCAGACAATTTCTGAATCCGTTCGTCATTGTGTTCATTGATGATATCTTGGTTTATTCAAAAAGTAGAGAGGAACACACTCACCATCTGACTCAGGTTTTGCAGGTTCTCAGAGAGAAGAAGTTATATGTAAAGTTGAGTAAGTGTGAGTTCTAGCTTGAGCAGACTACCTTCCTATGACACATCATATCAAAAGATTGAGTGTTAGTGAACCCCAAAAAAGTTGAAGCAGTGCTCGGCTGGGAAAAATTGACATCAGTTAAGGAGATCCGTAACTTTCTAGAAATGATAGATTATTACCGCAAGTTTGGGGAAGGGTTTTTTAACCTAATTCCTCCTTTGATTCGGCTCATAAAAAAGAACGTCAAGTTTGAGTGGAACGAGGACTATGAAAGAAGTTTTCAAAACTAAAGAAACGGTTGACTACCGCACCTGTGTTGGCCTTGCTGAGCGGATCGGGTGGATATACAGTGTATAATGATGCCTTCTTCCTAAGGTTGGGTTGTGTTTTGATGCAGCATGGGAAGGTCATAACCTATGGGTCCAGGCAGTTGAAGAATCATGAGAAAAATTATCCCACCCATGACTTAGAACTTGTCACCATTATCCACGCCTTGAAGACTTGACACTATTACTTGTATGGAAAAACCTTTTAGATCTATACCGATCATAAGAGTTTGAAATACATATTCACTCAAAAGGATCTCAACATGCGTCAGAGAAAGTGGATAGAACTCCTCAAGGACTATGATTGCGACATCTTATATCACCTAAGTAAGGGCAACATAGTAGCCGACGCACTCAATAGGAAAAGTGCAGGTACATTAGCTCACTTGATGGTTTCAGAATACAGGCGGATAGGGGTCGCACAACAGGTACAGCTTCAAGACTTGAAGAGAGTCACATGTTTGGGCCACCTGACTATTCAATCTGAGTTAATTTAGAGAATAAAGGAAGCTCAGTCCGTCAATTCCACCCTAGTAGCGCTCAAGAAAGATACAGAATAGAAAGTTAATTCAGAATTTCGAGTCTCTGCCGATGGGTTGCTCAGATTTCAGGACATGGTGTGTGTTTCAGGTGACAGTGAGTTGAAAAGAGATATTATGATAGAGGTCCATAGCTCAAGGTTTATCATGCATCCCGGAAGCACTAAGATGTATCAAAGTATGTGACCCCGATTTTGGTGGAACGGGATGAAAAAAGATGTAGTTGACTTTGTTTCTAAGTGTTTGGTATGTCAGCAGGTTAAGGCAGAGCGTCAACGCCCAGGTGGGCTACTTCAGCCATTACTAATTTTGGAGTGGAAGTGGGAACATATCACCATGGATTTCGTGACAGGATTGCCTAGGGCACACTCAGGACATTATGCCATCTAGGTAATTGTTGACTGACTTACCAAGTCTTTCCACTTCTTGGCCATCAAGATAACCGATCCTTTGCACAAGTTAGTAAAAATGTATATTCGGGAGATAGTCAGATTACATGAAGTGCCAATGACAGTAGTGTCCGACAGGGACCCCGAGTTCACTTCTCGGTTTTGGTCTAGTTTTCAACAAGTCATGTAAACGAAACTGTCCCTTAGTATTGTATTCCACTCTCAGACCGATGGACAGTCAGAAAGGACGATCCACACACTTGAGGATATGTTTCGAGCTTGTGTTCTTGACTTCGGGGGCCATTGAGATGACCATCTACCCCTGATAGAGTTTGCCTACAACAACAACTACCAAATAAGTATTGGCATGGCTCCGTACGATGCATTGTATGGTCACCCATGTAGATTGCCGATATGTTGGAAGGTAGTGG